AAATAAATAAATAAATAAATAAATAAATAAATAAATAAATAAATATAAAGGCCAAATACCCTTCAATATGGGTTTATCCACTAGAGTCTGGTGAACCTGTCAAGAGCCTCACCCTTATCAAGACTCACTCTCCTACTCCCAGCAGCCATCAGTTGCCAATACTTCCTCAGGTCAGGTTAGGGTTTCTTAACCCACTTCCCCACATCTGTCTCGGATTTTGTCTGGCTTAAACTTAGGTGCATCTGTCCAGTCTTTTAGCTACTCTTAAAAATAATAGCATATTGAATTGGGAAGATGGTGCAGTGGGTAATGTGCTTGCAAGCATGAGGACCTGGAGTTAAGATCCTCAGCATCCGTATAAAAGCTGGGTATGCAGTAAACACTTATAGATGTACCTCTGGGGAGTCAGGAGCAGAGATGGCCAGATCCCTAGAGCTAACAGACAGCAAGTCCAAATAATTGGTGGGCACCTGGTTCATTGACTCTGTCTCAAAAAATAAGGTGTAGAGCAATAGAGGAGGAAAACACCCAACATCCACTTCTGCCCCCTTCACCACACACACACACACACACACACACACACACACGGAGCTGACTGCCTGAGCCACTAAGGTCTGAGCTGGCCTGTGCTGAATTCTCTCTGTGCTTCCAAAACAAAGATCATCCAGGCTGTCAAACTCCTCACTGAACTTGAAGAAGCAGTTTGAGGTTTGGATAATCTTTTGAAACTCTTTGAAGAAAAGCTCACTTTATTAAAGGAATTGAATTTTTCATTATGTCTCTCCCAAGTAAGCAGAGCCCAGGAAGTGTTAAGTTGTCAAGTCTTTGGAACTCAGACAGCTAGATTTCAACTTCAGTTTTCCTACTTTTGAGCCATTGGCCCCTGAAGTCTGCCATTCAACATGTATAGACTTGGGATCTTCTGCTGTAACTGGGCAGCAGCATTTTTATTTCAAGGTGATGAAGGTCCCTATAAGACTATTTGGTAGGCACTAGCTGGACCTGAGAGGGTGCAGGTGTCCAGGGTTGTGTCTTCTGTTCTTTTGGGACACACACACCTGGAAACCACCAGCAGGGTTTTGAGCTTTCCAAGGCAGAAAGGTATTCTAGTTTGCTTTCAGTTGCTGTGACAAAACACTCTAACCAATACCTACTTGGAGGAAAGGGTTTATTTTCTCTTACATCTTCTGAGTCACAGGTCATCACTGAGGAACCTAGAAGCAGGAGCTGAAGCACAGGCCACGGAGGAATGCTGCTTACTGGCTTGGTCTCCCGGCCCATGCTCAATCCGCTTTCTTATACAATACAGGACTACCTGTCCAGGGGTGGCATCACCCACTGTGGGTTTGGCCCTCCCACATCACTCAACAATCAAGAAAATGCCCCAGATATGGCCACAGGCCAGTCCAATGGAGGCAGTCCCCCAATTGAGGCTCCCTCTACCCAGGTGTGTCAAGTTGACAACTAAAGCTGTCCAGCACAAAGGGGCTACTCTTTCAACAAGGCAGAAAGAACAGTCTGTTAAGGGAAACATACCACCCTTTGTGGAGGCAGGTGGGCCTCATCCTCCTTCACAGGAGGGTATCTATCTCAAAGGAGCAGGTTTTCCCTATAAAATGATTCCAAAGTCTTAATCTGAAGTGATTATATGGCTTCGGGGATTAGTTAGAACACAGAAAAGCACCTGCTTTAAAAATAAGATCATTGGAAGATGATTACTGTAAGATCATTATTACTATCCTTAGTTTCAAAGTGGGCAGGTCTGTGTAGGTCCCTATGGGAGGAGGAGGCAGGGTAGTGGGATGCTGTAATTCTTACTGGGAATCAAGGTGATGTAAGGCAGCCTGTCATTTGTGAAACGCCTTTCTGTGTCCAAACTGCACCTCATTGGCTGTAATGATGAGGACTGTGTGTACCATGTGATGTTCTCAGTGAAGGCTGTGTACCTGGCCAAGGGCAGGTCAGAATTTGTCTCTGACTTGATTTCTAATTTATGAATTGAGAATTTGCCTTTAGGGCAGAAATTAAAAAATAGTTGAGGTATATATGTAATCTTTGTTTCCTTCTCAATCAAAGCGGATGCTAAAATTGCATAAAACTATTTGGTTTTTTTTTTTACTAGTTGCCTCTGTACCCTATGTCTTTATCTTGACTGAGAACAAAAAAAAAATTGAAAAAAATTGATTTTGAACCATGTAATTTGTTTTGATCTGAAAAAGTTGTATGTCCCTTAACTTACATTCACCCTAAAAAACACAAACAAAACAAAAACAAATGAATAAAATAAAAAGGTAGAAAAATCAGTGATAAGAAATATATTACTTCAGAATTAAGATTTAGGCTCAAAATTTTGAAAGAATTTCTACCTTCTCAAGCGATAGGAGATAATTGTGGAATTATACAAATTTAATTATGCATAATTACAAGTGCAGTATGTGCTGTCATTTTGATACATTTGTTCTGGCCGCAGATGACAGGGAATGACGTGAACTTCATGTTTATTCATACCTTTCTCCCTCTCTATCCCTGCCCCCCACATCCATCCTGGAAAATCACTTCCTTATTGTTGACATGTCGCAGGTTCAACATCATCTCCAGTGGGCCATTGTGATTAAGCCTGGGGTCTAGATACAGGTTGCTCACTTGGATTTCTGACTCTCATTCATAGACTTACTCTGGCAAGTCACTTCTTTTTTTTGTCTTGCTGGCTGTTCTTATCTTCAAAGGAGGTATTGGGTCTGGGGGTATAGCTCAGTGGTAGAGCACTTGACTAGCCTGTTTAAAGGCCCTGGGTTCTGTTCCTCAGCACTGCTTAATAAATAAATGCATAAATAAAAATAAAGGGGATATAATAATTATCTCTATCAGTAAGTTGTGTATACTAAAGTATCCGATGCTTGTAAATTGTTCAGAGTAGTGGATGGCACATGCAAGTGATCTGTGAATCCAGATGCTTTGATCATGATGTCATAGTAACTGCTACTCCTATTGGAGTAGTGCCCAGTGCCTTGTGACATATGGTGGTAGGGGGAGTCGTGGGTTTTCCTAGAGTCAGGGAGAGAGTACACTATGCACTTGGCGAACTGCTGATCTTTTGCATGGTCAGTGTTTTGCTACATAGAAAGAAAGTAGAGTTGGTTTTGAAAATGAGGGAAAGATTATAGAGATTTTTAAATTCAAAAGGAATTGAACTAGTCCCTACCACTCATGGATTCCATACTTCAAAATTCTCCTCCTTGTCAAAATTTATTTGTAACCCCCAGTCAATATTCAAGGAGT